CATAGATGTGTGCCACCATGTCCAGCTTTCTTCATTATCTATTAGGATGGAATATTCATTTCAAATTTAAATGAATAGATACTATCTATTATTGTTACTGTTGATTTTAATGCTGATGTTCTCCCAGATTTGGGCACTGGTAGCTTCTTTAGGCTTGCTACTGTATGTTAATATTGCTTTTTTTCTTGTATTTTCACTTTCTGGCATAAAGGTTTTCTATGTTCATTTTGTGCTTTTCATGTTCACACCCTGAAATGAGCCATTTTTCTTCAAGGAAACTGGCTCCTATGGGGATGAATGGTGTTTAGAAATCAAGATCTGGATTCCAGGTGTGGTCATTGCTCCTTGCATGTAGTTCTGTTTATTCTTTCACCAGATTGGATAAGAAATATTTAATTTCATATTGTTGAAATTTTGAGTTCATTCTTATAATTTAGCAGAGTTTTTTGTTTTTGGTGTTTTTGTGCTAGAGATTGAATCCAGGTCCTTGCAAATTCTATTAAGTATAGCCCCATACCTATAATGTATTTATTTGTTTATGTTTTTGTGGTGCTGGTGAACCAACCTGGGCCCTCACCCATGTGCTTTACCACTGACCTATCTGCCTAGCCCCCCCACCCCCCCCACACACACTAAAATTCAATACTACAGGGTTTTTGTTTTCTCCCATTTTCTGTTTATATCTCCTTTCTTCATTGAGAACTTTGCTCAAAACATTTGTATATTTAATTTTTGAAATATTTAAACCAACTTGCATTCCTGGAACAGAGTTCACATGTCCATGATAAATTATCCTGTATATATTGGTGGGTTTAATTTGCTTGTGTTTTGCTAAATTTTTTTTGGCTATGTTCACTTGAGATCATGTTCTATATATTTTATTAAATCTGTTGTGGTTTTTAAAAATCATGATATATATTGGCTTTGTAAAATTGGGAACTAATTGATATTTTTTCTGTTTTCTGATGAATTTGGTAATTTTTTAATTGATATTGTTGTTTGATAAAATTTACTCATAAAGCCATTGGTCCCTGCAAGTTGTCTTAGGTTTTAAATTATGAATTCAGTATTTTTAGTAGATGTGACAATTCAGATTTCTTATTGTGTCAGTTTCAATAATTTATGTCTAAAGGAATTTGTTCATTTTATCTGAATTGTTGGTTTTACTAGTATGAAAATTCTGATTCTCTTACTGTCCTTTTAATGTTTGTAGGATTTGTAGTGATATTGTGTTTTTTCACTTATTCCCCAAGAGAATATATATTTTCATGTTATTGATCTCAAAGAATCACCTTTTGATTTCACTTTTTCCCCCTCCATTGTCCATTTCTTATTTCAATGACTTTTTTGCTCACATCTTTGTATGTATTTGGAATTAATATATTATTCTTTTGCTGGCATCTTAAATTGGAACTTTTTTTCTTATATAAGCACTTAGAACTACACATTTCTCTTTTAAGAATTTGGATTCCAAAAATTTTGATATGTTGAGTTTTCATTATTTAATTTAAAATACTTTCTAATTTCCTATTTGTTTTTTGATTCATAGATAGACATATGTTGTTTACTTTCCAATTATTTGGTATTTCCCCAAACATTGTATTGTTATGTCCATTGTGGTTAGAGAATATTCTCTGTATGAGTCTAACTTTTAGATTTTAAGACTTTTTTTATGGCCTAGCTTGAGTTAGTAAATGCTCCATTTGTGCTTGAGAATGTGTATTCTGTTGGATGTAGTGCATTTTTGAAATGGAATTTGGCCATGTTGGTGTTGTGGTTTAGATATGAACCCAAAAGCTCATGAGTGAGACAATGTAAGCAAGTTCAGAAGTGAAATGATTGGGTTATGAGTCTTAATCTAATTAGTGCATTAATCCCCTGATAGAGATTAACTGGGTGGTAACTATCTGTAGGCAGGTATAGTGTGGCTGGAAGAGGTGGGTTTTTGGATTATATATTTTGTCCTTGGAGACTGTGGGGTGTAGGCAGGGGCATACTCTCTCTCCCTCTTTCTCTCCCTCCTCTCTGCCTCCTGGTGCCATGCCCTGAGCTGCTTTCCTCCACACTCTTCTGGTATGACATTCTGCCAATCTCTGGGCCCAGAGCAGTGGAGCTGACTGTCTGTGGACTGAGACCTCTGAAACCCTCAGTGCCAGATAAACTTTTCCTCCCCTAATGTTGTTCTTATCAGGTCTTTTGGTTGCAACAGTGAACAAGTTGGTCACTAAACACTGAAACAGTTGGTCAGGCTGGCCTCAAATCCTAGCCTCAAGTGATCCTGCTTCCTCAGTCTTTTGAGTAGCTGGGACTCTGGGGTGCATGCCACTAAGCCCCACAGGATATAACATTCTATGTGTCAAATTGGTCAAGTTGTTTGATAGTGTTGAAGTTTTATATATCATGTACTAATGTTTTATTGATTACTAAGAAAGTCATTGGGGTTTTATTTATGGTTTTGTTAATCCTTTCACTTCTGTCAGATTTTGCTACATGTCTTTTGAAACTGTTATTAGGTATGTATATATTTGTGTCTTCTTAATGAGCTGACCTTATTATTATAGAATGTTTTCCTATATATAAGAATCCTTTTCTTGAAGCTTATAGTGTCTGATATTGTGTAGTTTGATGTATAATAATATCGATATATCATCTTTCTTATGACCTGTACTTGCATATTACCCTTTTCCTTCATTTTTACTTATAACCCACATGTCTTTATATTTAAACTGTTTAGGATTTTGTTTTTTCCATCTATTTAATATTCTGATTGTCTTAGCTCCATGTTTTTGTTTTTCATTTGTTTTTAGAATATTTCAGCCTTTGTCTTGTCAAATATTTTTTCAGTCCCTTTCTCTCATTTAAAAAAATTTCCCTTAAGTATTTTTTTATACTTTATTTATATAATTGAGTTTAAACAGAAGACACAGTTAGCATATGCTTATTTATCATGTCATAGTTTTACTTCTAATAATAAAAGCAAAATGCCGAAGTCTGGCTGGGCAGGATACACCCTAAACCTGGATCCGCCCTAATCCAGTAGGATCCTCCCTAAACCCGGATCCACCCTGGTCCTTGAGCAGGGTCACCTTTCTCAAACATACATGCAATGTCACTGCAGATGTCCAAGGCAAGTCCATTTCCACGAGTCCTTCCTCTAAGCAACATGGGGTACGATGACAAGGAAATTGTCATACCTACTTGGCTAATGGCTCTCAGCAGCAAGACATGTTTCTGGAAGAAATATTTTTAAAAAAGAAAAGAAAAGAAAGAAAACTTACCTAGAATGTTCCTTTCATGGATAATTTTTTTTTTCCCTTAAACTGGGGATTGAACTCAGGGGTGCTTAACCACTGAGCCACATCCTCATCCCTTTTTATATTTTATTTAGAGACAATGTTTTGCTGAGTTGCTTAGGTCTTCCTTAAGTTGCTTAGGCTGGCTCTGATCTCTCAATCCTAATGCTTTCAGCCTCCTGAGCCTCTGGTGTTTGCCATTGCACCTGGTGCAGATGGAAATTTTAACTTGTGTTTATCTTTACATAATTATAATCCTCCTGAATACACAACTTTTGTTGTGGTGGTGGTGGTAAAAGACCCCAATGTAAAATTGACCATCTTAACTATTTATAAGTATGAACTAAGTGTTAACAGAGTTCACATTATTGTGCAACACATCTCTGGAACTTCTTGATTTTTTTTTTTTTTGGTATTAAACTGCTTTGTTTAAAAAAAATTTGCATTCTTTAATTTTGGAGGAAAATAAAACAACAACAAAAAACACAGTACAACATCTAACTCTACTGCCAAATTAGATAGGGGATAGGGGCTTGAGGCCCTTGTTTCTTGCCGTAAGATGCCAAGGACAGGAGAAAACCCACTAGAAAATCAATCAGCGGAGGAAGCCAGGTGGGAAAGGGCCATTCAAGGCTGTAGGAGCCTTGGGGACACTATATAGAGGTCAGATTTCTCAGTGGCAACTCCTAACCTACTACTTTTAGGCGAGAAAAACTTTATAACCATTGAATAATTCCCCTGTTCCCTTTTCTCCCAGCCCTTGGTAAGCACAGTTCCATCTTCTGTTTCTAAGAGGTTCACAATTGGAAATCTTTTCATCAAGACTTTTTATGTATATAACACTCTTCATTAGTCCCACAGAAAATGTCATAACCAGAGGAGCAAAGGATTTACTTGTTCTAAGTCCTTACTTTGAGGAATGGAATTCCTTTTTCATAATTTTTAGTTATATTTTAGTACTCTTAAAGTCCCCAGATCTTTTTAACTGCTTACAAACTCATCTTATCCAAATGGATTAATATTTACCTTCCTTCTAATCTATAGTAGGTCTTAAACAGAATCGATTGCTGTATTTCTTAAGCTGAAACTCTGCTTTTGTTGAGTTAAAGACTCCTCACTTTGAATGAACTGATTATAAAAAGGTGCCCCTTCCTATACAAGACTTGGTGCCTGCTCTCAGCCCTCACTTTTCCCAGTGGCTACATATCCTTGTACTATCTATACAGCTGTGAACAGTTCATTAGAGTCAGAAAAATTTCTTAAGTTGCTTTCTTAAAATAGAGGAGAGACTTCTAAAACATTACCAAGTAGGAAATCCATATGTGGCCACTGTTGGCATTTTTATTTTGTGTTTATAAAAACAGGATCAATCTGTGCTGCTGCTTTTAACTTGTCTCTTGTTTTTAATGGAATGTCTATTACAGAGGTATTTTCATAAAAATTTACACTTACATTTATTAGAATATGAGGGAACTGTAAGGGTGTAGCAGTTGGAGACAATAAAACTAAGTGATTTAGAATTTGTGTTCTAGTGCTTTGCATATAAAGTACTAAAACATGTTTGTTGAGTATTAAATTTTCTAATATAAGTAAAATTAAATCGCTAAACTTATGACAGTGGTTTGCCTATTCTGGAACAAATATATCCTGTGAATTAATGTACCCTATAATTAAAACACTAAAAACTTTCTAATTTTTGTTCCATAGGTATACTGCAACACCCAGATGGCACAGTTTTGAAACAGTTACAGCCACCTCCAAGGGGCCCGAGAGAGCTGGAATTTTATAATATGGTAAGTAAGGTAAGATTTGTTTGTTGCATTAAAAGTGTTTTTCAGAGTTTTTTAGTGGTGACTCACGGTAAGAAATATAACTGTTTGACAGCCTGTCCTAGTTCACTATATATAATAGAAACAAAAACTTCATGAAAAACAATGCTTATGTTTTACGGTATTGGATGCAGTGTAGTATTTTCTATTCTATTTCATTTCTCAAAGGGTCTGAGTCACTAAATTGATTTCAACCTGGGTAGTGACCCACAATATGATAAACACTTAACTGAGAGTCTCCATAGTGTCAGAAATGTTAACTTACATAAGTGTTTTTACTATAGAATTTCTTAAAAATGCTAATCTGCATTGTGAATCTCTAAATGGGAAAGGAAAACATCTGGTTAACCATAAAGACTAGGAATGTTTTTTTAGTACATTCATAATATTCTGTGACCACCACCTGTATCTAATTCCAAAACATTTCTCATCATCCAGAAAAAAACCCTCTACATATTAAACCACGATGCTGCATTATTCTTTCTCCCAGCACCTTAAACCATTAATCTGCTTTCTAATGGGCTTCTCTGTTGCCATTTCATATAAATGGAGTCAGACAAAATGTGGTCTTTTTTCCCTTAGCTTTCATTTTCTGTAATGTTTTTAAGGTTTATGTACATTACGACATACATCAGTGCTTCATCTATTTTTATAGCTGAGTAACATTCCATCATGCATATATACTATATTTTGCTTAGCCACTCACCTGTTATGGATGTTTGGGTTGTTGCACCTTTTGGCTTTTGTTAATAGTGCTATGAACATTCATGTACAAGCATTTCAGACTTATTTCTACTTTTTGGTATATACTTAGAAATGGAAATATTAGGTTAATTGGTAAAGCTGTTTATCCTGAAGTGGCTGGACTATTTTATATTTCTTCAGCACTATATGAATGTCCTAATTTTTCTACATCCTCACCAACATTTCTTATTTTGTCTTGAGTGGAATTCTAGTTACTATAAAATGTTAATCTTAATGTAGTTTGTTTTGATTTGCACTTCTTTAATGGCTGATGGTGTTTAGCATCTTTTCATCTTATTTGCTATTAATATATCTTTTCCAAAGTATGGAAAAGATACCTTTCTGCAGGTTGTCTTTTCATTTGCTTTCTAGTGTCCTTTGAAGCACAAACTTGATTTTTTTTTTTGTGTGTGTGTGTGTGTGTGTGTGTGTTCATGTATATGTGTGTGTGTGATATTGGGAATTGAATCCAGGACCTTGCACAGTTTAGCATGTGCTCTATCGTCCAGCCCCAACCCTTTTTTGAGACTCAGTCTCACTATGTTGCCTAGGCTAGTCTTGAACTTGTGATCCTCCTGCCTTAGATTCCTGAGTAGGCTGGGATTACAGACATGCACCACCATAGCCAACAATCTTTTGAATAGGTAAAGCCCAGTTTACCTATTTTTTTTCCTTTTGTTGCTCATGCCTTTAATATCATATCTAAGAAGCCATTGTCTAATCTAAGGTCATGCAGATTTATATTTTTTGTTTTCTTTTAAGAGCTTTATAGCTTTAACTCTTAAAATTAGGCTTTGGATCCATTTTTTATGAATGGAAGAAGGCATCCAACATCCTTTTGCATATGAATATCTAGTCATCCATTATTATTTTTTAAAATCGCTGTACTCTCCCCATTGAATTATTTTAGTAGCTTTGTCAAAATCAGTTGACTAAATGTAAAGGAGAAATGCTTAAAGGAATTTTGCCAGTAATGAAGGGTGAATTTGGAAGCAAGAGGCTGCAAATTGATATTGGTACAGACTGGTTTGTAAGTTCTCAATTCTGTTCCATTAATTTAGATATCTGTTTACACTCTTATTATAGCTGTGTAATAAGTTTTGAAGTTGGAAAATATGAGTTTTTCAACTTTATCCTTTTTGAAAATTGTTTTGGGTGTTCTGGTTTTCTTGCATTTCAGTTTATATTTTAGGATCAGCTTGTCAGTTTCTGCCAAAAAAGCTAGCTGAACTTTTTTTTTTTTTTTAAATGAACTTTTTACATTAGTTTGGGAACTTTTGTAGTTTTATCCTTTATTCTTTTAATGCTACATTTTGTGTTGATTGAATTTTACATGTTGTCAACTTTTAATTTTAGCAATAAATTGTAATTTTTTTATGTCAGTGGTTTTGGTTTGCTAGTATTTCATTGAATATTTTGCATTCATAAGGGCTGTTGGTCTGTATTTTTTATAGTGCTGTATATGATTTTTTAAAGAATTCATCTACTTTAAAAGAACTCAGCTCAAAATAACAAATAATGTTAGACTTACATGAAAATTCTTTAAATGATGGGTCACTGTAAAACCACTCTTCCAGTTACCAATTTATTGCCTCTCCGTTCCAAATTCACCCATCATTACTGCCTCTGTGATAATGAACTTAATCCTTGTAGCATTTCTCCTTTACAGTGAGATCATTGTTAAATATCCCCAGTAGAAGGCATCAGAGAGATATTGCAGGAGAAAGAGGCTGCAATATCTGTTGATGATTCTATCTGTGTTCTATTGGTCAGCAGTATAGGGTTTCTTGCTACAGTTGAATATCTGGAAATATGTATCCTCTGTCACCACAGAGCCCTGGCCCAACCTGGTTATCACTTTGTGGCACTTCCAGCACAGAGGGCTTCTGTGTATGAATTTGTGCCTTGACTCCTTCATAGTCATCTCCTCTTCATATTTGTCTTCTGCCACCATCCTGGGATGGACATCAGGCATTCTAGGTTTCCTACCTATATGGCAGACAAACTCTCCTTTGGGCCTGTGTTCTTGGTTACTCTCTGTGTGGTTGCTTCATGCATATCCAGTTGTGGGCCAGCTCTGGGTGGGTTAACCAAGTGGACTTCTCTACTATTCATTGAGCTTCAGTTTTGCCTTCTGCAATGAGGTCTAGATATCTGTTCACACTCTATTATTGTAGTTGTTGAGTAAGTTTTGAAATTGAGAAATATGAGTCTTTCAACTTTGTTCTTTTTGAAAATTGTTTTGTCTATTTTGGGTTCCTTGCATTTTGGTTTGCATGGAACCAAATGAGTTCTGCTTAGGAAACAGGCCTACTTTCCAAGTTTATCCTTCTTAAGCCAGAGAGTATCTTAGAAAATTCTCATTACATCTTCTGGTTGCTCTTTCATTGCTGCTTAGTAATTCTTTATATTAAATGTGCATTGCTTAAATCACTGAGGGCTTCTTTTTCATTATTGCCTCCAGAAATGATGCATGTTCTTCATGGGGAAAGTTAACTGTCAGTTGTGCAATACAATGTGGAATGCTTCTTGTGCATTCCAGAATACTTTATATTTTAACTCACCATGGTATGTAAATATATTTGAATAGAGAGCCCAAGTGCATATATGTGTGCTTTCTTCCTTTCTTTTTTTTTTTTTTTGGTGGGGGAGGGCAGGTGAGGGTATTGAGAGTTGAACCCAGGATCACTTTACCACTGGGCTACATCCTCAGCCTTATTTTATTTTTTGAGACAGGGTCTTGTTGAGTTACTGAGGGTCTAAGGTTTTTTGTTTGTTTGTTTGTTTGTTTTGTTTTTTGCTTGGCTCTATTGTTTTTCACTTGTACTGAATGCTTTATATAAGTGCATGGTAATTTTTCACTGGTAGTGCTTCTGTTGTTCCTATATTAAATATGTTTCTAGTATTTCTCCCCCTATTAAAGTTCTCTTAAGTTTAGGGACCATCTAGCAGAAGAAGATATTAGAAGTTTAATAGATAACAGTGAAAGGAATAGGTGGGTATATTCATTTGTTATGGCTGCCAGAAAGAGTAACACAGATTAGTTATGCAGAAATTTACTATTTTACTGTTTTGTAGGCTAGAAGTCTCAAATCGGGGTGTGGTTTCTTTTGAGGTTCTCTCTCTTTTTGTCTTGTAGATGGCTGTTTTCTCTGTCTTTTCCTGGTCTTCCCTGTGTGTGTTCATGTCCTATACTCCTGTTCCTGTTACAATTATAACAACTTAGGGATTACCTTAATAACCTCATTGAATCTTAATTACTTTGTTTTTCTTTCCCAGTATTGGGGATCAAACCCAGGGCCTCACCATTGCCAGGCAAGCAGCCTACCAGTGAGCCACATTCCCAGCCCCCATTATTAAAGACTGTTCACTGCCTTAGGTACTGGGGGTTGCAATTGGGCATATTACTTTCGGTGAAGCACAGTTTAGCCTATGATAATGTGTTTGATTCCTATGGAGTGAAAGTTTGTTTTCTTTCCTTTTTGTGAAAAGTGACATATTACTGGAGCATAGGCTTTGGGATTGTACAAATTTGTGTTCTAATTTTAGTTCTAACATTTAGTTGTATGACTATGAACCATGACTGATTTTTCTCCAGGTTTTAAAATCCCGTGGTTATATTAATACTGAATTATTAAGTTCCAGTGAGATTTAGATTGCATACAGTAATCTAGATATCATGCTTGAATAATGTTGCCACATTCTTGTTCTGCTTAATACACAACATTTCTTTCTTAGTACACAATATTTTTCAGGGCTGTTTTTGTGGAGAGACAATAATGTATTTTCTTTTCTTTTCCTTTCAGTTTCTGATAAAATGGATTCTATCATACCATAGACATTCTAGCAGTTGGCCCTAATGAGATATTACCTGTATAAATATGTATGCTCACTTGTAAATTTGTTTGCAGTTTAGACTTGCCTTAAAGCAAAGAATTTCCTTTCCCCCCATCAAACATTTATATTTACTTGTCAATCTGGAATATACAAGCAGACTTAATAATCATTAAATTTGTATGGAATTGTAATTTTGAGGATGCATGAGATGCATTCCCTTGAATTAGAAATTGTATTCTGTCTGGGATATTAGGTCATAAATTTTGAGTATTGGGTTTTTTGGGGGGCAATATTAGTCCTTTGTGTGGTGAGAATAGGTGGGTGTATATTTGGGCAGCCATACGTTGTATATTTTTTGAACAAACCTGATTTATAATATTCTGTGCTATGTTTTCCTAAGTATACTTTTTTTTTTATATTGTACCAAATTATAGGTTTTGACTTGCAAAATGTGGTCACCATTCTATATGTATATTCTATATTCAGGCATTTAGAGAACCTAATATGTTATCAGGTGTATTCATATTCTATTACTGTAACAAAATACCTGAGATAATCAGATTTTAAAGAGAAAAGGTTTATTATGGCTCACAGTTTTAGAGGTATCAGTACATGATTGATTGGCTCTGTTCCTTAGGTTGTGGTGAGGCAATACATTATGGGAAGAGCCTGTGGGTGGAACAGAACTTCTCACCCCTGCCCAGGAAGCAAAAGGGGAAAAACAACAACAAAAAAAGAGTATATAAAGAGATTGGGGTCCCACAATCACCTTTAAGGGTATGCCCCCAATTATCTAAGGGCCTCCTATATACTAGAATCTACCTCTTGAATGTTCTACCAGTTGCTGACTATACCAAGCTGGAGACCAAGCCTTTAAAACATGGGCCTTTGGAGGATATTTAGCATTCAAACTATAGCATCAGGTATCTCCAATTTCCTCACTTAATTTTAAAGGCAGTGTATATAGTATGATGGCTCAGAGTTAAAGCAGTAAGTCTCTTTTTCTTTCAGTTAGTTTCACTAATTAAAATTTGTGTGAATTTTAGTGAATTAATTACTAGTTCTTAGTTGCCCTACAGTAATAGCTAATAACATGTACTAAATAAGCCAAGGTCTGTTGTACTCATTACATTAAAAAATCACCACAACCAATGATTTTCAAATGTTTTTTACTTTATTGCCTCATCATTTAAAAAAAACCCCAAAAACCAAAATTAATACATTAGTATTTAGAATAAAAATTATTAGCCAGGTGCAGTGGCACACATCTGTAATCCCAGAGGCTCAGGAGGCTGAAGCAGGAGGATCCTGAGTTCAAAGCCAGTCTCAGCAGTTTAGCAAGGCTTTAAGCAACTTAGCAAGACCCTGTCTCAAAAATATAAAAAAGGGCTTGAGATATGACTCAATATACAAGTGCCCTTGGTCTCAATTCCTTGTACCAAAAAGAAAAAGAAAAGAAAGAAGTCTAATTTTAAGTCTCCTCTGAGATTCAAGGGAAATTGTTATCTGTGAGCCCCTATACAAATAAAAAAGAAGTTACATACTTGAAAGATGCATTGGCCCAGGGTAAATACACCCATTCCAAAAGAGAGGAAAAGGAAAGTAGAAAGGAGGGATCAGACCAAAGCAAGACAGTAACCCAGCAGGGCAAACATTAAAATTTAAGGTCCATGTATGGCATCCTGGGCACACTGTGGCAGGAAGTGGGCCTCCAAGGGCTTGAACAGCCTCGCCCTTATGGCCTTGCTGGCTGCAAGATACATGTCTGTTCTCTTGGACTGGCTTTCTTTACTGCCTGCAGCTTTTTTTTCTGCAGGAAGTCCATGTTCTTGGCATCTCTAACTTCCTAGGGTCTTTTACAGCTTTGGCTTCTCTCTCTCACAGTTCCATGTGTCACCCTGTAGGTAGGGCAGCTTGCAGGGACTCTGACTATTATTTACTGCCTGGCCTCCTAGGCTTTCGTTCAAAATCTTGGTGAAAGCTTTTGTGATGTTATGACACTTGTGTTTCCTTGCCTACAAAACTAGTGTTGCATGGAAAACACCAAAGTCTGCTGTTAGCACAAGCAGTTCCTGTGCCTGACTGAACCATGGCTGCACTGGTGTTTCAGTCAGCTTTTTCACTGATGTGACTAAAAGATCTGACTAGAACAATTTTAAAGGAGGAAAAATTTATTTGAGGGCTCACAGTTTCAGAGGTCCTAGTCTTTAGAAGGCTGGCTCCATTCCTTTGGGCTCCAGGTGAGGCAGAACATCATGGCAGAAGAATGTGGCAGAGGCAAACAGGGTTGATCAGGAAGTAGAGAGGGGGAGACTCCACTTGCCAGATACACAAACATATATATATATACCTAAAGTCAGGTACCAGTTCCCATGTCCGCCAGCCACACCCTACCACTTCTCTTAGCACGCAGTTAATCCCTCTCAGGGGGATTAAATCACTGATTAGGTAAAGACTCACAACCCAATCATTTCTCTTATGAGTCTTTTTGCATTGTCTCACACAGCTTTTGGGGCACACCTCACATTCAAACCATGACAGCTGGCTTCTGAGTTCCTTGTCAGCTGAAATGAATGCCAGTGGAAAGAGAAATGAGGTGGTCTTGGGTGGGCAGAATGTCTTGGAACTGTCTTTTAAAAAAGATTCTGCCCTAGAAATTCTGAAACAATTTTCACTTAGATACCTTTGAAGCTGTAATGGGTGGGTTCCTACAAATTCCTGAGATGTCCTCAGGACACATTTTCTTGTACCTGCATGAAATGCTTGGCTCCTTTTTTTAAAAAAAATTATTATTTATTTTTTAGTTTTAGGTAGGCGCAATATCTTTATTTTATTTTTATGTGGTACTGAGGATCGAACCTAGTGCCTCACTCATGCCAAGCGTGTGTGCTACCACTTGAGTCATATCCCCAGCCCTTGGCTTCTTTTTTAATGACCCTAATATCTTCACCATCCTTGACCACAAATAGGCACTTTTAGCCTATTTTGTCCCATCATCCTAGATGTGCAACACCTATAAAAGCTTAAATATAGTATGTTATGTAATAATTCAGAATTATTATATAATAATAATTGTAGCATAACTACATTATTGATTAACATTGTGTACATATACACATATGTAAGCTCTGGATTATGATTTCTGTCCTATTTTGATGTACCTGTGTAAATTTCATTGAAATATTTGTAGAATTAAAAACTTGGGACTTAATGGATTCAACATTCTTTTCTTGTCAAGCTGTGAATTTTTCAGTCTATCTCCTTTGCTTTTTGTTCCCAGTTCTCAATGCAAATCTAGCAGAACCAGTGATACCCATGTTGCAGCCTGAGTGCTTTGTTGCCTTGAAATTTTCTCACCAGATAAACTAGTCTGTCCTGTTTAGGGTCAGTCTCACACAACATCCCCAAACATGGACATAGTGCAACCAACCTATTTTTTTTTCCTCCCACAATGTAACAAGAATGGTCTCTAGTTCAATATCCAGTGGAGTCCACATTTTATCACTCTAGCCTTTACTGTCCACATTTTTCTGTCTTCCCTTCCGTCTTTCCTGGGATGGGATACATTTTTTAACTAGTGATTCAGTTGCTTAACAGTTTTCAGGAGTTTTTTTATTTGTGATAGTAAAATGTAGTTTGATTCTATTTTTTATAGAAAATTGCCCACTCGGTAAAGTTCTTGATGATATTTAAAAAGATATCTCTGCTGTATCTGGTATGACTCCCTTTTCAGTCCTAATGTTGTGTTTGCTGTGTCTTTCTTTCTTGATCATTTGGTTGCTAGCATACTTGGAGTGTATTATTGTGTGGAAAAAAAGAGAAAGAAGCCATGATATTTCACTGTTCAGTATTTAGAATTTTATTTATTCCCCATGTTTCAGCTGAACAAAACTAGAGCCTGGGTCCAGGATATCCATAAATCTGTAGTATCTTCTAGAATTATTAAAGGTTATAAATCATGGAATTAAGACTTATATTGTATTAAAGGATAAGTTTTTTTTAAAGAGAGAGAATTTTTAAATATTTATTTACTTATTTTAATTTTCAGTGGACACAGCATCTTTATTTTTTATTTTTATGTGGTGCTGAGGATCAAACCTAGCACCCTGCGCATGCCAGGCGAGCCGCGCTACTGCTTGAGCCACATCCCCAGCCCCAGGTTTTTTTTTTTAATAAGAAAAAAATGAGCTGGGTATGGTGGTACATGCCTGTAATCGTAGCTACTGCTACCTGGAAGACTGAGGCAGGAGGATCAAAGATTGCAAGTTTGGAACCAACCTCTAAAACTTAGCAAGACTATGTCTCCAAAAAATAAATAAATAAATAAATAAAAAGGACTAAGGTCATAACTTAGGGATAAAACACTCTGAGTTCCAGAGTTGAGATGATGTTTTAAGTAGGCACTCAATTCCCTCCTTCCCTGGGGCATGGAGGGCAGTTAATTGTTCATTGAATCTCCTCTGACCAAAACTTATTTACATATTTAGGGTAAGAATTATTTTGCATTTGATGTCAGTTACCTGCAATTTACACTGTTGTGAAATAATCCAAAGGACAGTAAAAGGGTAGTATTACAGAACCAAGGAAAGTGTGTTTTAAATAACACATAGCTTTTCATTGGAGACATAGTGATATTTTTTGCTTACTCCAGATTTATTTCCAATTAAAACTCTCACCAGATAATTGAGTCAGTGATATTGTGTTTGAGAAATGTGCAGGGCAACAATAAGAAACTAACCAGTTTTATATTTCTCTTTGTTTCAGGTTTATGCTGCTGATTGTAGTGATGGTGTTCTTCTAGAGCTTCGAAAATATTTGCCAAAATATTATGGCATCTGGTCACCTCCCACTGCACCAAATGGTAATACTTTCTTAAAAGTACAGCTTCTAGTTTCAGTTCATAAGATTAGTTTTCTGAATTTATATAAAGGGAAAATTAGTGTGTGTTATAAAAATACAGAATATATGTGTTCTTACTAATCTTTCTTCACCTCACTAAACAAAGCTTTTTAAAACTTTTGCTTTACCATAACCATTTTCTTAAATGGCATATACAAGTTAATGATCAGACTGTTGTTATAGTTGAATGAAAGTATATATACTAGTACTTAATACTGTTTTAATTTATATATGTTCTTCTTTTCTCATTTATTATATAATTTCTCTTTCTATTTTGAGTAATAAAAAAATTCAAGAAAACAAATTTCTCTGCATGACTTCTCTCTATTCTATCTCCCTTCTTCACCCCTGCCTTCAGGCTTTAAGTTGCAGTCTTTTGAAAAGCACTGCAAAGTTCCTTAGAGGATAAAATAATCTATATTAAGAATTTAATTTTCTTAGTATTAGTTAATACTTGCAGCAGTATCTACCCCTTGAATAACTTTGCTGGAGCAGGTAGAATTTAAGCGAGTAGCCATTGTTTGAATAAGTTTAAGAATAACCTATAGTTCCTCCTCTACAGTTGTTTTGGTTGGGTCTTTAAGTCATAGCATTGAAAAAGCTGATACAGATAATCAATACAGAAATCAATAGCAAAATGTTAGACTTAAAACTGGTAATTATGTTAATTATAAGTCAACAAATTCATTTAAAATTTAAAAAAAATTATTAGACTGAATTGAAAAAGTTAATATTAGCTTTGTTTATAGGAGGCAACAAAGACACATTTTAATTATAAGGAAATAAGGATGTGAATAAGTAAAAGGACAGGAAAAGATATTTAAGATATGTAAACACTAACAAAAATAAGCATAGCTGTGTTTAAAAAAAAGAATGACCTCTATAGTATTTTTATTTTTCATTTTTGGTAGTACTGAGGATTGAACCCAAAGACACTCTATCATTGAGCTACATCCCCATCCCTTTTCATTTTTTGTAGTCTTGTTAAAATGCAAATTTATAGGCATTCAGACATTTTGATTATTCAGGTTTGAGTTTAGTGGTATGATTTGTAAATAAAAGGTACAAGTTTTCTGATGTAGATCTTGAACTACATTTTGAGAGTAGAAAGACAAGGAGACTCCACTTTGAGCTTATTCTTCTCCTCATTTGTTTCCTTCAACTCATTGACTTAGTATGCCAAGTTTCATTAGTAAGAAATCATGGTATCTCACTGTGATTGATTATCATCAGTTAGGTTAGTTGTAAATTGATGGCTCCTTTGTGTGTTTAGGACTGTCCTGTTCTTCAATTGTATGGAAAAACTGAGAGTGAGCTCAGGCTCTGTTAACATAAGGCAGAATACGCTTTATCTGAAATGTTTGGGACCAGAAGTGTTTCAGGTTTGTGAGTTTTTCAGATTTTGGAATATTTGCATATGTATATGAGATATCTTGATGGGAGCTAGGCCTAATCATGAAATTCATGATTATATGCACCTTGTAGTCTGAAGGTAATTTCTTTTCTTTATTCTTTATTTTTTTGGTACCAGGGATTGAATCCAAGGTCCCTACTATGCAACATCCCTGGCCCTTTTTATTTTTAGTGAGACAGGGTCTCACTAAGTTGCTTCTACCTTAGTTATCTGCAAGTTGTGCACTTGATAACAGTAAACTCTTTGAGCTCATTTTCTGTATGTTATGTTAAATTGTCTTATAAAACACTAATTCTATTAGTTGAATATAACTGGAGATTTTAGTGCTAGGAAGATGAAAAGATGAGTTGAAGAAAATAAAAAAGAGGGTAGAAAATTTAAATAGTAGGCAAAAAATGACAGGTCATAAAGTATACATGAAATGGAATGGTCCAGTGATATCAACAGTTGCCTCAGACAATTTCCTATTTTTTTCTTACTTTATTTGCTCTGGAAGGTGTTGGACAAAACTGTACCATGCAGATTTCTCAGTTTAAATTTTGCTAGACTTCATGGAATCATATTTCTACTTTTAACCTTTTGATTATAAGTAAAATAAATGTAAGGTGGCCAGCTTACACGTACGTTTAGGGTACAAAATCATGAAAATAAATATTTTAGTAGATTTAAAATTTAATAAAGTATTAATTATTTAATATGGTTTGTATCTGTGCTTTACATAACTTAAATTAATGACATTATTTTTAAAATTGGTGTGGGCACCTTATGTTCTCAGGGAAGTGTTTTATTATTTTTAAAAATTTATTTTTAGTTGAAGATGGATACCATACTTTGTTTTGTTTATTTATTTTTTTATGTGGTGCTGAGGATCGAACTCAGTACCTCACACATGTTAGGTGAGCGCTCTATCACTGAGCCACAACCCCAGCCCCTCAGGGAAGTGTTTTATAAAACTAATAGTTTTTTCCTTCATAATCCAAAGTAGTAAAATGCTGAAAATAGTAAAAGTCATTTTACTCAATTTGTTCAACGAGATTATTATATAGCAACTTGAACCATAATTGCTGACCACATACATTATTTTCTTTCGAAAATTCGACAGCTTTATTTATTTATTTATAAAATATTTACTTTTTAGTTATAGGTGGACACAATATCCTCATTTTATTTTTATGTGGTGCAGAGGATCAAACCCAGTGTCTCACACATGGTAGGTAGGTGAGCGTTCCACCTCTGAGCCACAACCCTAACCCCTGACAGCTTTATTGAGATGTAATTTACATATTATAAAACTCACTTATTTGAAACATACAATTCAGTGGTTTTTAGTGTATTCACAGAGTTTTACGGTCATCACCATTATCTAATTTTAGAACATGGCCGGTGGGATTTTTTTTCTTTTATTTTACTTGTAAATGGACACAATGATTTTGTTTATTTTTTTATGTGGTGCTGAGGATTGAACCCAGTGCCTCATACATGCTAAGCATGTGCTCTGCCACTGAGCTACAACCCCAGTCCCTGGTAGAATGTTTTTAATATTTTTATTGGCAATTATCTTTGAAGATTTGGGGCTAGTTATATGTAATAAATCTCATTTGTACTTGTGTATAAACACTTAGAAGTATATTACATGTACCATAAAGAGACCTTTAGATATTCGATAGTTATTTGAAGTGATAGAAAAGTTTAACATCAAGAACATGAAGTAGATTTGAGCAGATGGAGAGTTTTCAAATAGAATTGGTAGGTTTCTGGATTCAAGCTTCTAATCAGGTTTCAGGAAGCATGTACTGAAACAAGCCAGCACACATCCGTTCCTCACCTCCCTTTACTCCAAATTTGGGGGCTCACAGTCTCTACTTAGAATTCTTTCTACTATAAACTTTTTTTTCTGAAAAAAAAAAAGGCTGGATATTGATGTGGAAAAACAATTATCTCTCCTTTTTTTGCATTTGGCTTAATTTTTTGTGGTGATTCTTCACTTGGTCTTAACTCCTTTTTTGGGAGGTTCAGAAAAGAAGATAGTAGGGCTGGGGTTATAGCTAAGTGGTGGAGTGCTTGCCTGGCACTTTTAAGGCGCTAGGTTGATCCTCAGCACCACATAAAAATACATAAATAAAATAAAGACATTGTGTTCATCTACAACTAAAAAATTTTTTTTAAAAAGTATAGTAGATTGTACAGATAAAATTGGTGAAAAACGTACTGAAACTTGGAATTCATATTTCAATAATTTATATAATCATTAATGTTCATTAAAGGGAACTTGAATAAGTCATCTTTCAATTCCCTGAGTGTCCTCCACCCTGACTCCTTTTAAACAGATGGCTAGTTGCCTTCATCTTTATTGTTTAGTTATCCGTGATTTAAAATTTTTTTTCATAATTCAGATGTTTCTGAATTTTTTCCTTTGATGCTGGGAAGTTTTCTGGCTCTCTTTCTTACAGTATCAAGGCTATGTTCAAGCAGTAGAAAATTTGCTATAGGTTTTTTTTTAAAAAATATTTTATTAGTTGATGAACCTTTATTTATTTGTTTATACGTAGTGCTGAGAATCGAACCCAGTGCCCCACACATGCTAGGCAAATGCTCTACCACTGAGGCGCAACCCCAACCCTATAGGAATTTTTTATACTTAACATATTATAAAACAATATAAGTGTCGTATGTAATTTATGTTTACAATAATTTTTTTTAAAGAGAGAGAGAGTATTTTTTAATATTTATTCTTTAGTTTTCGGTGGACACAACATCTTTGTATGTGTGCTGAGGATTGAACCTGGGCCACACGCATGCCAGGCGAGCGCGCTACTGCTTGAGCCACATCCCCAGCTCAACAATAATTTTATATACGTGTGTGCACTTGCATGCGTGTATGTGTGTGTGTGTGTGTGTGTGTGTGTGTGTGTGTTTTGACATACTGGGGATTGTACCCAGGGGCTCCTGTATGCCAGGCAAGTGTTCTACCATTGAGTTATATTCCTGCCCTTAATAATATATATGTATATTTATACACAAATATACATACATATATATATATATTATATAGACAATTTGAGACAGGCTCTTGCTAAGTTGCCCAGGCTGGCCTTGAACTTGAATCCTCCTGCCTTAGCCTTGCAAGAAACTGAGATTACATGCATGTGCCACCATACCCAGCATGAGAATTATATATATTTAACAAGATAGAAAAGTTTTTTCATTCACAGTAACCTTTATAATCTTATATTATGATCAACAACATGAAAATATATAAATATTTTAAGCATACTAAAAATGTTCTTGGTAAAGCCAATGAGAAATCTTAATAGTCTGTTTATAATAGCATGAAGTATATTTTGGAATGATTTCTACCACAAATTTTTTTTTAAAATATTTTTTTAGTTGCAGATAGACACAATATATTTATTTTATTTATTTATTTTTATGTGATGCTGACTTAAACCCAGTGCCTCATGTGTATGAGGCAGGCACTCTACCCCTGAGCCACAACCCCAGCCCCCACAAATTTTTTTAACTATACTAATTCTAGATATATTTTTCAA